GACAGTTCGTTTACGGCAGCTGTTGAAACCAGTTCACCTCAGTAGTGCGTTGCGAAAAAAACAATGGAAAAAAATATTGAACAAAGAGTTTGCATCAAATTTTGTTTTTCGAACGAAATTTCGTGTGCAGAATCGTTGCGAATGCTACAAAAGGCTTATGGGGAATCAGTTTTATCGAAAACTCAAGTTTATGAGTGGTACAAAGCCTTTCAGGACTGTCGTACGACCGTCGAAGACATGCCGCGTTCTGGACGACCTTCGAACTCTACCACCGACGAAAACATTGAAAAGGCAAAGGAAATCGTGTTCAAAAATCCTCATGTGAGTGTTAGAGAGATAGCACGAGAGCTAGGCATCGGTCGTGAGATGGCTCGTTTGATTTTGGTGGACAATTTGTGTATGCGACGTGTCAACGCCCGGCTTGTTCCGATTCACCTCAATTTGTTCAACATTATCAACGATTTTAAGGCCAAACATTCAATAAATACCATCGAACAGCCACCGTATTCACCTGATCTTGCACCGTGTGACTTTTTCCTGTTTCCCAACCTCAAATTACCACTCAGAGGAACGCGTTTTGAATCCATAGAAGACGTAAAACAGAATTCGCAGAGGAACTCAAAGCCATACCGGAAAGCGCCTATAAAAAATGTTTGAATGATTGGGAAGAAACGTTGGCATTATGTGTATCGCTTCTAATGGAGCATATTTTGAAGGAGATAAAATAAATATTGATGAAGGTTAAGAATTTTGCGTTTTATTTAAAATTTCCCGAAAACTTTTCGGTCACAATGTAAGCTGATTCATTTGTGAAACAGAGTTTGTATTGAGCAATCACCGTCTGTAGAGTAGGGTTTTCCGATTGAGTAATATTGCTTGGTATGTTAGAAGAATTTTTCATAACGTTTGCGTAACTTAATTCTTTACTGTTTGTTGTTATAATAGAAGCGGCTTGACTTGTTTGGGGAAATTGTTCATTGGTATATACAAAATTTCTTTGCGAGATGTTAGGTCTATTGGTAATTTTATTTTTCAAGTCTTTGAAGACGGGGCATCCTTGGCAGTTGTTGCATTTAATAACAACATTATTTCCATTTTTAGCTGGATAATTAGACGAGGCATGCAGCTCTTTTGGTGTGTCCATATTCGAGGCAATTATTACATTGAACTATATTTGTACGTTTGTCTGGCTCTTCAATGGTTTTTTTTCTGTGCAATAAATAGCGAAGCTCATATATTGGGTGAATTTTGTTTTTTCCACATTTGCTGCTTTCTGGTTCTAATTCAATTTTAAAGAGTTTCAATCTTTTTTGACTTTAAAACCGGCTAAATGGTTTTTATGATTTCGTCTGTGCTTACATTAGATTCGACGCCTTTTAAAACAACAGCAAGCACTTTGCTGCTTTCCAGTTGGTATGTGTAAAAGTTTTTCTTATTTTTTTCGAGTAGATCTGTTACGATACGAAAATAATTTTCGGCATACACTTGTATTTTTGTTTCATCTATGTTGACTTTCTTGAGGAGGACTACGTGAAGGGTTTTTATTTCCAATATCTCATACGAGAATATGGTCAAATTATTAATTTTTTTTTGGGATGTTCAACTGGGTGTTGCGATTTTGGGGTCTCAGCTTTCGCTTTTTACTAACAGCTGTAATGTAGCGGTCTGTGCTGGTCTGTATGAACGCACCAGCAGACTTTTCTTTGCTTGCTGTCATATTGATCTTTTCGGTACTTAGATCAGTGGGGTCGTAAGCTTTTTGTGATAACCTATTCGTTGTTCTTGTTGTTGTTGATGTTGATGGAGTAACAGTGATTGGAATTTGTTTTGCCGATAGGATATTGTTAATTGTTGTTGGTATCGTCTTATCATCACTTGCCAATTTGCTACGTATACGGGGAGGAGTTCGGTGTAGACTCATGTAGTAATTTATGTACAAACGTATGTACAAACAGCACCTATAATTATTATTGTTTAGCGTCTTTTTCGCTTATATTGTATTAAAAAGAAATTATTGTATTAATAAATTAAATATTAAATATTAATATTAATATTAAATTAATATTTAATTATTCAATATTAATAATCTAAGTTTTAATTTTACTTAAGAATTTTTCAATCAATATTTTAGGGGTATTTTTGCGTATTTATTTATTTCATTTATTTAACATAAGTTTGTTATTTAACTATACAATTACACAGTGGCGTCGCTAGGCGTCAGCCATGTCGGCGACTGCCGACGGCCTCGCGCCCACGGGGGCCTCGCAAAAAGTTACCGACTGTGGATTCTAAGCAGTTAATAAATATTTTGAACAATTTGGTTTGATAATGGTATTAACCGTATTCAAAGTTTTCCTGAATGTTTATATAGTAACCAGATTCATGTTCACAGTTCCAGTCAGTACAGCTTCGTGGAAAGAAGCTTCTCAAAGTTAAAATTGATTGAGACGTACTAGAAAAGTATGATGATCCAAGAGAGACTATGTCCATTAGAAATTCTATAAACTGAAACAAAAATAGCAGCAGATTATGATATAATTTAAAAAAAAATGAGTGAGGCTAAACGTAGGAAAATTTATTTAGTTTAATTTGAGTTTATTTTAATTTGATTAGCAATGAAACTTTCAAACAGAGTTTGTCGTATTAGTGAATGTAACTTATTTACTTTTACAACTGGGTTATAAAGGGGGCCTCGCAATTCGGATATCGCCGTCGTGCAGAGTTGGTCTAGCTCCGCCACTGCAATTACACAATTATTCAAATTTATGACTTGTAATTTGTTTAGTTATTCTACCCGTTTGCAACAGTTTTCTTGTAAATTTATTTTGATCTTTATTTGCTGTGTCTATCAGCTATTTTCATGTGTATGTGATTTAGAGAAAAGTAAACAAATTCGAAAATAAAGCCAAAATTTACTTTTTTTTTATAAAAAGAAATAAATGAATAAAGTACTAGTGTTGCTGAAAAGCTACGCTTTCTTTGTATGGTGACAAAGAAGCTTTATTTAAAATTTAGAGGGTTTTTTCGAATAGTAAAAAAAGATATAAAGCCCAAACACAAAAATTTATTTAAATTTTTATTGAAATTTAAAATTTTATTTAAACTAATTAAATATAATTCGATTATTTCCTAAGACCACTGATGAAGAGTACTTGGCATTACTTGCAATATTATACTTGTATGGTCAGCCAAATTTCAATAAAAATTAAAATAAATTTTTGTGTTTGTCCTTTATTTCTTTCTTTGCTTTTCGAAAAAACCCTCGAAAAAGAAATAAATATAATAATATTTTATTTGTATCGAGCACTATTATATTTTTTTTTAAATCTTGTTTAAGAGTCACTGTCTCGATTATTTGTAATGAGTTATTGAAATTTAAAATTTTATTTAAACTAATTAAATATAATTCAATTATTTCCTAAGACCACTGATGAAGAGTACTTGGCATTACTTGCAATATTATACTTGTATGGTCAGCCAAATTTCAATAAAAATTAAAATAAATTTTTGTGTTTGTCCTTTATTTCTTTCTTTGCTTTTCGAAAAAACCCTCGAAAAAGAAATAAATATAATAATATTTTATTTGTATCGAGCACTATTATATTTTTTTTTAAATCTTGTTTAAGAGTCACTGTCTCGATTATTTGTAATGAGTTATTGAAATTTAAAATTTTATTTAAACTAATTAAATATAATTCAATTATTTCCTAAGACCACTGATGAAGAGTACTTGGCATTACTTGCAATATTATACTTGTATGGTCAGCCAAATTTCAATAAAAATTAAAATAAATTTTTGTGTTTGTCCTTTATTTCTTTCTTTGCTTTTCGAAAAAACCCTCGAAAAAGAAATAAATATAATAATATTTTATTTGTATCGAGCACTATTATATTTTTTTTTAAATCTTGTTTAAGAGTCACTGTCTCGATTATTTGTAATGAGTTTAATGTCACTTTTTACTTAGATAACACCGAAAGTAGCGGAGTGATTTTTTTGCGCGCCAAGTCTTGCGACGATGATATATATATATGAGGTAAGTTAGTTAGTTGTGGTGGAGAGAGGACGAAGCCTCCTCAAATAGCTAAGGATGAAAGCCGTTTTGAATCAACAAAAACCTCGTAATAGTGGATAGTAGATAGAGTAGATAGAGGGTCAAACTAGAACCAACCAGAGGCATTAACAAAGGCAAGAATCTGACTAATGCTGATACTGGAGATATCGTTAAGTGAGTTGAAGAAAGGGGCCCCTAGAAACTTAAACCTAGTTCTAGCCAGACCTGGACAAAAACACATCAGGTGTTCTGTCCATGCCGTCCTATGGACCAGTGACCCGTAAAGACAGATATTAGCTTAGAAACCTCAGATTTGTTTCTACAGATTAAGTCAGAGGTTCTATATTTGGAATAGATGGGCCAAGTAGCCCTTCACCTGACTGCTGAGACAGTAAGGGTCCACTCACTATTTGCCTGTCGCAAAAAATGGTCACAAATCATCTTACGCCCGTAGCTGACAGGGGCAGGGATCGAAATAGGGGTATCCGTGGAAGAGGTGCCTAGCTTAGCAAGCTCGTCAGCGCACTCATTTCTCACAATATTAGAATGCCCGGGAACCCATACTAGAGTAACCTTGGACCTCTCACTTAGTTCACTGATAATTTCCTTACATTCTTCTACTAATATCGATGACAGACAGACTGCTGATAAAGCTTTAATAGCTGCCTGACTGTCAGTTAGAATGCAGACCTCTTTTCCGTGAAGGCGCATATTTAAAGCAAGAACACTTGCCCTAAGGATGGCAAAAACTTCAGCCTGAAGTATTGAGGTAGAATCTGAAAGGTGGTATGATTTACTAATCATTAGGTCCGTAGAAAAGATTCCGGCTCCAACGCCCACATCCATTTTAGACCCGTCGGTGTAGATTGCTATCTTTCCTGGAGTTGTAAGCAATCCCCTCTTGAAGGAATTTTGGTGGCGAAGTTATTGTCGAATAGTAACCGAGGACATAGGTAGTCTGAATCCCTGGCATCATCTATCGGATAGAGTGATGCGATATTACCATGTCCTAAAGCACTCGAGCGCCAACAGTTTAGATCTTTAAGCCTCAATAGGTAGCAAGTTAAGGATGACATTGAGCGCACTGGTGGGGCGAGATCCTAGAGCCCCTGTAGCTCCCACACAGGCAGATCTTTGCATTCTGGTTAGTCTTTGAACAATGTACTGTTTGTTCAACGACGACCACCACACCAGACATCCATATGTTAATATTGGCCGAACGACGGCTGTGTAAAGCCAGAAAATCATTTTGGGCTGCAATCCCCAGCTCTTACCGTACATCCTTTTGCACGCATAGAATGCCACACAAGCTTTACGAATTCTTTCGTCGATGTTGGCTTTCCAATTAAGTTTTGTGTCAAGAATTACTCCTAGATACTTAACTTTGTGCGAAAGCGTTAATCTTTGGCCATTTAATCTTGGCAGCGGAAAGTTTGGAATTTTATATTTTTTGGTAAACAGTAACATTTCTGTCTTAGAAGGATTAACACCTACGTCAACTTTAAGGCCCATACGCTACTGCTTTGACTCCACCCTGGTTAAGCCTTAAAAGCAGTGAGTTCATTGTTAAAATCCATAATAAGGGAGATAACACTCCCCCTTGTGGTGTACCCCTACTGACGCATTTCTTAATACTAAGATTGCCCATCTCTGCATTGATGATTCTAAACCCAAGCATAGAAGCGATCCATCGGGAGATACAGGCCGGGATGTTCATTTCGCTGAGAGCATCTTAAATGGCTACCACACTGACGTTATTAAAAGCTCCTTCTATATCCAAGAAGGCGGCTAAGGTAAATTGTTTACATCCAAGAAATTTCTCCACCACAGTAACAACCTCATGTAGTGCCGTTTCTGTGGACTTCCCTTTGAAATATGCATGTTGAGCCCTTGATATTTTAGCGAAACTGTGTAAAGATCTGATGTAAGCATCGATCAGTCTTTCCATAGTTTTAAGTAAGAATGAAGTAAGGCTGATGGGTCTATAATCTTTAGCCGTACTGTGGCCTGTTCTACCTGCTTTTGGAATAAAAACTACTCTAACTTGTCTCCAGCCGCTGGGGACATGATTAAGTGAAAAGCAGCTACAGAAAATCGTGGACAGCCAATTTACAGCTACATCTCCCAGAGATTGTAACATAATTGGTAAGACCCCGTCAGGATCCGGACTTTTATATGGAGAGAAGAAATAGATGGCCCATTTGATTCTTCTAGATGATACCACTGATTGTATAGTCTCGCCAGAATTGGCTGAACGATACGGCAATACCTTTGGGGGATCACCCGAGGAACCAGGAAAATGGGTATCTACTAGTAGTGAGGGGGATTCCATTAGGGATTTAACTGGATTTCCATCCACTTTGTTAAGAAGAGAGGGACAAGAGTGGCCATTTGCTAGCAGTTTGGCTAGTCCAGTCGATTCTTTAATGCTTTCAATTTGCTGGCAATGAGATTCCCATGACAATTTCTTGGATTTCCGGACCCTAAGATCATCCTTATATGGAGTCCAAACCTTGGTCCGATAGCTTTCGTTGAAAGCTCTTCTTGCATTCCTGCGGAGCAAAGAGAGCTTCTCGTTCCACCATGGTGGCCTACACTTCTTCGCATACGAGCGAGGACATGATGCTACAAAGGAAGAAATAATATTATTTGTCAAAGAGTTGACCCTACACTCCAATTCCCTAATCGAGTAAATTGGAGCGGGGGCTATGTTGATTTTGCTACTGAGCAATAACCTGAAAGTATCCCAGTTTGTCTTCCTGGGATTACGGTGAGATTGCTTAGCTACCATGGGAATATCCATCACAAACATGATATATCTATGATCAGAGAAGGAGTTCCTGGCTGAAACTCTCCAATCATTGATCGTTAAAGAGCGGGAAGTCGAACAAAGGGTAATATCTAAAATCTCTTCCCAGCCTACATGATCATCCGTACTCGGAAAAATGAAGGTGGGAGTATTACCCTTATTACATACTTCTAGATTACATCTTCATATAAAATCAAAAAGAGACTCACCTCTATCGTTAATTTCCGAGCTTCCCCACAAGGAGTGCCGGGCATTGGCGTCACAACCCATCAGCAAGGCTTGCTTCTAGGTCTGCGCGAAATTTTGGACTAGTAGTACCCCCTCTGGAGGTGCCTCATCATCGTGTGGCATATAGGCGGATGTTACTAAAACCGCAGGTTTTAGCTTCCGCTCTATCCGGATGGTGGTGATATCTAAAGAGCTTAAATGATAACAGAGAAAAGCATTAAGGTGCGTTTTTTGCTAAAATGCACGATCTAGGCTTACCCTGTCCTTTTTCATAAAAAAGATTATACCCATTGATGTTGAGCCCTTTGACACATGAGCTATGAACCCAGGGCTCTTGGATGATGGCAAGGTCGATGTCCTCCTCCCTGAGTAAGACAGCCAGATTGTCCGTGGCACACTTAAAGTGTTTCATGTTTATCTGCACAACCTTGGCCATTGATACATCAACAAGGTTTGTTATCGATGATGAGGTCATTTAGCAGCTTACTAGTGCCCTCAACCTCATCCAAAATATTATCCGGTGGCGCGTTTTTGAAGATTTTAATTTTTGCCTTCCGGATGCCGTAACGCAGCTTGCAGTCATTAGCCTCAATGACTGGCAAGCATTCTTCGTTGATTAAAAGTAGGTATGATTGGCGGTGTTTTTGCGGTTCTTCGGTCTTGAGAATCGACCAGTCTTCCATCTGGATTTCTGGATTTTGTAGCCTTTACTGCTGCAGAATAAGGTCAGGAGGACCAAGGTTTTTGGGTCACAATACGCGCGCTCGAGGCCTCGATGGAATTTCCACCGCAGGGACAAGTTTGAGCTTTAAACCGTCCCAGTTCTCACTAATCTTAGTGATCGCCTTGCGAATACTCGTCATCGCATCTGATCACTCGGTGACCACGGACGATATCTGCACTGTCAAAAGAAGGAACGGACCCCGGATTAGTCATGAACTCAGCCATAACCAATTCGGATAGTTTGGTCTCAATCAGCGCCCACCTCTCCATCAGCAGCTTGCCGTTAGCGTTGTGTTTGTTGATCAAGGCCACACTGAGATGGTCTCTCGCCACTTCATTGAAGGGACGAGTAGCTTGTGCCAGTCTTGACATTAGCTTCCCATCCCCCGTTCCATCTTTGTGTCGCTTTGCCTCCTTGCCGGGATCTTCCTGAGATCTGTTACGCTTGCCGCCATCTCCGACGTTCTTGCCGGTTATAACAGACTGGCGCAGATCTTCATCATGAAGATACTCCTCCACAATGGCGCGGTACGTAACAGCGTCGACTTCGTCTCGTTCATGGACCTTGCTTTCTTTTTTATTGCTCTCAATTTTTCTGAGCATAAAAAGCGCCCGCTGATATCGATTTTTGCGTGCCATGTTTGCCGTTTTTTTTCTTGATTTAGCATTGCCCTTACTGCTAAGACTGGCAGTTTTAAGCGTTGGCGTGCGGTTGGCAGACGGTCTACTTTGACTGGTAGACGGAATGCTGTCGATTTTTTTGGATGTTAATTGAATTGGGCTAGACACCGGTGTACTGTGACTGGTACAACCGGTATTGGAATCGGCAACGATCTCGTGGTCCGATTTCAGCAATTCGTTTATACTCTCCAGCCACGAGTTCCGAGACATTATCGGAAGAATTCATATCATATGCATAATCGTCCACCTTACCCGGTAAGACAGGCGCAGCGGACCCGAGGATAGTTGGACGAAAGAAGCGACCACCACAGCAGCGTTCCATACCATGGCTAGACCACAGTTACTCCCCAAGTCATATATTGGAGAGGCTCCGCAAAAATACAGTCGGACAGACCCCTTGACTGCAAACCTACACTCGGTGATCACGGATCACGTAACACTTCCGAGTTAAGGGGACCTTCAAACCATGATCAGAAAGCATTGAGTGGTGTGCAGCTATTAAAGAGCTAAGTACATTCACTCAATTCCTCTTGATCTTAGCTGGGCACCGTCCTGACAACGTACATACCGAAAAAACTGTGTGACCCATTTCCAGACGGCACCCTCGTGGAGGGTTCAGTAGAAGGATTTTTTGCCATCCTATCTGAGGCAAAGTATATTGAAATTTCCTAGAGATTTTTTGCACTGCACTTATGTTAATATTGATTTATTTATTTATTACACTTATTTATTATTCTTGATTAAAAGTTTTCAAATTTATATATTTATTTATAAAGAGGTTTTTCGAACAGTAGTGAACTACAACAACAAACATTTATTTTTTATATTATTTTAATTAATTGAATTTTTGGCTGACCAAAAATTTACAGCTGTTTCGAGTATTGCCAAATACCCATCATTAGTGGTCTTAGAAATAATTCTTGTATTTAATTATTCGTAAATAATTTGTTGAGACTTCAAGTACCAGGAATTGAACTCGGATCCTGCCAAATGTGAAGCACAGAATCAGCGCACTTTAACCAATTGATCCAAAGCCGTACTTGACTTTTTTGTTCGCATATTTTTCTTAAGTTTTGTTAAGTTTTTTTATTAACAATTTTATTTGCTGTGTTTATATTAGAACGAAATCATAAACCAGCTGTAATATAATTGAATTAATTAATTAATTATATTTTTATTTTTAATTGTTAAATTTCGATACTATTTTGATCGTAGAGGCATTATTTGTTGCATGATTTGTTCTTTCTTATGTATAGAACCTTATCTAGGAACGTAATGCTGAGAAAGTCATGGTAATGTTACTCCACTAGTTTTATTATTAAACATCTTATAAAATTTTTACAATGGTAACACCAAATTTATCTAATTTTTATCTAATTTACTGGTAAATAACAACATTTGCTGCTATGCCCACATAATTTACTATTTCGCTTTAAGTTGAAGTTATAAAGCTTTAAGTTAACATACGAGTATATTTCATTACAATGCATTTATTCAAGACATATTAAAAAAATTACCTACAATTTTAAAAATACAATAGATAACAATTTATATAGAATATTTCGCTAGAAATTGTACAAATTTATTAGAGTATTAAACAAATTTTTAAACAAATATTTAATACTTAATCCAATACTAATTGAATGCGTTTTCATGCTTAGGACGTGTGCGAGTTAGGCTAAGTTGATGCTAAACCAAATGGAAGATTTTTTAGGATTTTTTGCACTGCATACATTTAGCCATTTATCAACATATATCGACACATCATTACATTATCGGCACAACTTAGAATTTCCCTCATTTAGAACGCAACTTAACCTAACTCACACATGTCCTTAGTATTCAAAATTTAGTCAATTTTAGAATTTTTTGTCAATTAAAAAATGATTATTCGAACTTAAAAATATGAACCACTCCAAATTATAATCAACGGAAAAATCGAAGGGAAACGCGATATTGTGTAACGACCCTTATTTGCGGTCGTTGCTTATTTGCTGAGGTATGCTCAGTCTCGCCAAAGTCGTCACAATAAATTTATAGATTGAGACCAAAATATTCAAAGTGCTGTATTTTTATTTCAATTTCTTTGTTTACGAAATGCTTTATTTTAAAATTTATAAATTTTAAACTTATGTATAATATAAGGAAACAAATTTATTTTTTTTTTTTAGCTTAAAAAAAAAATATATAAACAAAATTTGTATGTGTGGTTTTTTTTAAGAGGAAAAAAAAAATAAATAGAGATGTCTTTTGAGAGCTTTCAGTGCTTGAATGTCCTTGATAGATCTTCCTCCTTCAGGCCCCCTGGTGTTGTATTCTTCTGACTTTGTCTAACAGAATTGTATTTATTAGTGGGCTTATTCTGAATCTTGTAAGAATTACTTTATATACTGTCGGCGTGAGACAGGTGGCGTGTTCAAGCGTTTCAATACAATTATGCCTTCGTTTGGAGATTTTCGTTGTAGTCAGTCTCTCCTGTGTGATAGACTGGCTTTCGACACAGTCGACGTGATACCACCTGTCGTGTCTTAATATTGCAAAGTAATTATTCCTTCTTTGGGATATTTCTGATAGAGAAAATATCCTAATGAATATATTAATTTTAGAAATTCTTTTGGACACAGTCGACGTGAAACCCCCTTCGTGTCTTAATAATTATTATACCTTGGTGTAGATATTTCTTTCATATAAAATATCGTTATAAATATATTAATATTAGAAATTATCTTGGACACAGTCGACGTGAAACCACCTGTCATGTCTTAATAATTCTATTATACATTTGTGCCTCTAGAGCTTAGCTGACTTGGTCTTCCAAGGTGTATGTTCCTTTGAAGTAATATTGCAAGTCCCCTTCATATGAAAAGTGCGTGTCTTATATGCCTTAACAGCCGAGCTTTTTGAGTAGCGTTTCACTTTATTTACAGCTGATCTCACGCAAGTTGTGTTTTTAGTTTGCCGTTCTGCTTGTGCACTTTACGTCTCTTTGAGGTTCTCTTGCGGCGAATATTTTTGGCAGTTCTTGTTTTCTATTCTGCTGTTTTGTTTTGATTATTGCAAAATGTGATTAAAAATTTATTTCGTGCTTCTTTTGATTTTTTTAATTTAGTTTAACAAATATTAATTTAATAATAATTAATTAATTTAATATTAATTAATAAAAATTAATTCAAAAAAAAAAAAAAAATAGAAATGTAATTTATAAATAAGTCAGGTAAGTGTATGATTCATTTAATTAATTATATTTTTAAATTTTATTTCAATGTAATTGCAGATCACTTGGTTATGTTGTGGGTGCATGCTGCAATTAGTTTAATGCGGGGTGGATTTTGATGAGTAGTTTATAATAAATACGGTAAATATTTTTTAAATGAACTTTATTGCAGATATCTTCAATATTTGTTACCAGTAAGTGTTATATTAGGTGTTGTGTTGTGTATAAAATGAATAAAACTGTGTTGTGATGTTATTTTTTTGTTGTTTTTTAGTTCATTGTAATGTTTGTACCAAAGTGATGTGTCCAATATATATTTATGTAGGCGGAAATTTAATGTAAATTTCCGTCCTTACAATTGGTTATAAACAATTTTCTTGGCTGCGAAACATGTCAATGGACCCAAATATGCGAGTTCGGCAGCTTTACAAATATAGCTAGATGCAGAGGCCAATATGCGGAAATAGTAAAAAATTTGTAATTATATTCATCAATAGCTAATTTAAACAATATAGTTTTAGTGTCAGAGCATAAAACACAAATAACATAAACACATAAAATTAATATATGTATATTATTCAATAACTTCTTAATTTTTATAACTTTTTTGATATGAATTTTACAGTATTTGAATTTAATATGTTCGGTAACGAAACTTTTGTAGAGATTTTTTTTTTGAAATAAAAAAAAAAAACAATTTTGAATTTTTCTTATTCATGAGTTTTATTTTTCTTCAAAATTTTTCGATCGTGTAAAACATTATTTCCAAACTAATTTTGAAATAATATCATAAATTACCGTTTTGATATGTAATTAATAACAGAGACCGAAGTTACTACTAAAGCTAATTTTTTCTT